TGTACAAAAAGGGTGTTCAAGGGGGACAATCACGGAACATCCCTACACCTGGCAGAACCCCCTCTTGTCATGGAATGAGCCCTCTCAGAGCCCAGACGGGGCCATCTAGCTCTGCAGCAGCTCAGCTCTCCACCTGTCAGCAGGGAGGAAGCACTCTCCCCACCCTTGGCAGGAAACATGGGTGTGAAACTGGACCTCCTAACAGACGACAAGAGAAGCTTCTAGATCATCCCTGCTCTAATGCACTTCATAATTATGGATGCCAGCATCACCCAGAACAGACACAAAACAAGGAGCAGCAACATGCTGAGCTTCCTGAGCTCAACAAACAGTGTAGCATGGAGGAGTTCAGGCCAACTGTCCAGATCGTGGCCAGCAGTATTGAACACGAGACACAGGACATTTGTCATTTTGGCCAGAAGATGGTGGCAGCAACAGAAATAATGACAGACAGAGTGGAGCACAACGCCCAGGCCCTCAACCTGCTGGCTGAGGTAGTTGACAAGCTCCAGGGGCTCATTGTGGCCAGCAAACACTCCAAGTCATCACCTCTACACTGGCCTCCTCCACCTCCTGCAAAGGTCTTGCCAGTCTCTCCAGAAGTGTTCCACAAACCTCCCACATCTTGTCCTCACCACCTCCAACCCTCCTCTCCATTTTGCTCCTCCTCCTCTTCATCCACATCTGTCAGTTCCTCTGCAGATGGCTTTGCAACATCAGAACCAAGAACCAAGAGGACAGTGGTTAAGTTTGGTGCCACCCAGAGGGCAGGTGGTAGAGCTAATAATAGACAGGTGAGGCTCAACAATGGATCAGTTTCTTTTGGAACCAAGTAGACTGCAATGGCACAGACTACATGACAACCAAGAAGATAACTAGCGTGGAGCTAGAACGTCCCTGTTATGGTTCCGCATAGCTCGACTTCCCATATTTACGTTTCTGTTTACCTGTTCTCTCCCCAGTCCTCTGTCACCGCTATTTGTCTTTATTCCACTCACCTGTGCTCATTATCCCCCGGTCCTGTTCCCCGCTGTTCTGCCACGACAATCAGTCCCCACGCCGTTCACCTGCTGTTCATCATCACCCCGTCCGTTCCTGTATTTATACACCTGTTTTCTGTTCACTCGCTGCTGGTTCATACTCTTAGTATGTGTGCATGTCCCGCGATTACCTGGCTTCAACTACGTGTCCCGATCCTGCTCCATTCGTTTGTTTTGTTTCCGCAATTCATCAGCCCTGTTGACTCTCCACTTGGTCAGTCTGTATTCTTTGCCGTTTATTGTTTTTCTGTCTTTCGTAAGTCTTTAGCTCTGCGCTTTCTGTTTCGTTTACCTGCTAGCGCTGCTCAATCCGTTAGCCCTGCTCTGACTACCAGCACTGCTCCAGCCGCTAGTGCTACCCTGACTACTAGCGCTTCAGATCCCAGCTTACCTGATATCCTGCTGTCGTCCTCCTGGTTCTTCGTCCTCCTGGTCCTCTGGTCTCCTGCTCGTCCCTCCTCCTGGTCCTCTCCTTGTGGTTCCTCCCTGGTCTCCTGGTCCTCTCCTCCTGGTTCCTCCCTGGTCATCTCCTCCTGAGTCTCACCTGTCCTTGGTTGCTCCCTGCCTGTCTTCCAGCCATCCAGCATTATTTGTGTTTTGTTTAATAAACTGCTTTCATCAGTTCCTCTCCTCTAGTCTGTCTGCAACTGGGGTCCTCACACGCAACAGTCCCGACTCTCCACTCATTGTTCTAGTGGACTTACCACAGAGCAAATCTCACCCACAAACTGCCCAAATACAGACAGCACATCACCTGTCCAGGGACAAAATCACACTGGACCACTACTACACAACAATAAAAGATGCCTATTGCTGTCCCCCGTGCAGCCCTTGGACTCTCTGATCACTGCATGGTCCATCTTATTCCAACCTACAGGCAGAAACTTAAAGCTGTGAAGCCTGTGGTCAAAACATTGAAACAGAAGTTGCCATTACAGCATATGTTAAAATTAGGGCTGGGCAAGATAATGTGTTAAGGTGAAAATAACGCATTACTTAATTAACGCCAACAATTATTTTATCGCGCATTAACAGAGTTTTGTTTATTATTATTATTTTGAAGGTCTGTTGCTCACTGGCTCTGAATATACATACAGGCAGGTCACAGGAGGGGTGGGATGTTGATCAGTACTGCTTGGGATGGGCGTCATCACGTGTCTCCAACAATGAGAGCATTTTAGGTGGGCCTAAGACTGCTGCAGTGCTCACGTGATACATCATCACAAGAACAATACACCAGGGGCCTATTTCAAGAAGGCGGTTTAACAAACTCAGAGTTCAAACCTGAACTCTGAGTTGACTTACTCAGAGTTGGAAAACTCTGAGTTTTCGGTTTCAGAACAGCTGAAAAGAGTTGGTTTAATCAACTCTGAGTTGTCTGACTCAGAG